AATTGTAGTAGTGTCTTTCCTGAGATAGACAGCATTTGGAAGGACAAGATTGGTTGCATAAAGTTACAATGTAAGGTAAATGTGAAAAAAGTACCCAAAGTGAGAGCTGTGCAGATGAAAGCTGGAGCGCGCTCTCTTTCTGGGAGACTTGGAATCGCTGGATCGTGAATGTTCATTGTGGCCACTAGGTGGTGGTATAACACCATAAAAGCTTATTTTTTTCTGCCTGCATGGGTATTGAAGCCTGAATTTCAGCGTTAGAGCTGAATAAGTTTGTAAGTACATTTTATTCAGCCTTGTGTGTGTGTGTGTGTTGCACGCTCACTAAATTTAGTTTTATTTGTACTTCACCAAAGGTGAAATCAGTGAACACCTTCAAAATCTTCCAGTAATTAGTTACACATCTATATTTGAAGGAAATTTTTAAATGGCTGTTTTTATTCTTCTGGCTTAATAAATCCTAGTAAAGTATGAGTTTTCAGAACTTGTATTTAGTTGTTCTTTTTTAGTTTATAAATATTTTGTATTTTGTACCCTTCCCTGCTTCTGCCCTTTTAAGATAATTATATTGTACTTTGCACAATCATGGTTTACAGTATTACAAAATAAGGATTTTACATATTGTCCATATTGAATCTTGGGAAAAATTAGTAGTGCATGACATCATGACATAAGAGAGCATCTATGTACAAACATATACAATTTTATTGATATCTCTACAGACTACAAGAATTTTGTTAAGTATAGTCACAATTGCTAAGTGCAACAGAAAAATAGTAATTTGTCATTTTCTGAAAAGATGCAAAAATTCTGAAGATGAAAGAAAGATACATCAATGATGTCATTTCTTATTTCCTAGAATAAAACATCACATAATTAAGTACTAAAAACTATAGGTTATTAGAGATTTTGATCCTGTGTCTACTTGTCCATAACCACCACCTAATTTATTATTTTCTGACTTTGCAGTTGAGAAGGGTGGGCCAATACCAGAGGGCAACAGTATTGGAGGTGAGAACTCAAGTTTTTTCACTGAATTTTATTGCCTTAGGTAGGCAGACTTCTTTTTGAAGGTGAAAGCACTCTTTCAGGGTACTAGAGACCAAATAGTCAATTTTGGCATTCTTCTCCCTTTTAACACATGTCTAATAACTGAAAAAATAAATCCAAGTGGCCCTCAGAGCTAAGACAACATTCATAAAGTTCTCCCTTCTTGCTAAGATAAAGTCCACTAAAATAGACCTATTGCAGAATAGGCACCTGGTACCCATGTCTCCTTCAAATGAAGAATGAATAATTAATTTGGACCTGTTAAGTGAATGACTGATTTCAGAATTTCCACTATCCTACTATTGAGATTAGGCTTTCCATGCTGTTGAATTTCTTGAGCTATGTCTGGTGTTTTGTGATGTGACATTTGCTAAGTGCAATCTAAGTGCAACAGACAGTCAAAACCCGAGATGTCTGAATTGGAACAATTAATGACCAAGTCACATAGAGAAAAATCACAATTACATACTTATTAAGAGTTAATGGGAAACTGCTGTTTCAGAAATTTGTACTAAACTTTTGGGTTGTGATACAGAATAAGTATCAATCCAGTCAACAATGTATTTCCTACTTTTTGCCTTCTGTGACCCCTCAGAAGGAACTTGGATATCAGTCCAACATACACAAACATGTCTCCCTTAGTTGGCCGTAAAACACTGGTTATCAACCTTGGCTAAATATTGGAACAACTCTGGGGGCTTTCAAAAATACTGATATTTGATATCTATTTGAGAGATTTTCATATAGTTGGGAAATTTAAAAGCTCCTTAGGTGATTCTTATTTATAGCCAAGGTTGAAAATCACTTCCCTACATAAATATGTAAATTAAAACAACCATTAATTATGGTTCCTCATCAAATTCCCTTCTATTTCACTCTGGTTCTCATGTCCCTCCCCACCAAAAATCCTCTCACAATAAATTGGCACTTCCTCTTCCTTTCCCAAGTTAGACCTTAACCTATTCTGCATTTTGTCCTTACAGGGCTACCTAACCTTGCTATGCTGACAATCATGCTTCTTAGGACAGTGCATATTAGAGATAATGCTCAATCCAAGTACAGGACTTACTGGCAAGGATTTCTAACCTTGTGGCAGTATGTAGGCAAAACACCTAGATGAAAATGGGGCTGGCTTAAATGGTTAAGCAGCTGTGAAGGCTACCATGTTTCTCTTGATGCAAACAAGCAATGTCTTACCCTTTTTGGCATTGCCCTCTTTGAACCTAATTGATCAAATGTCCATATCTTCCCACAGGAGCAAGCTACATTCGTGCAGACATGCTCTCCAAGTGTCCCAATGATTCTAAACTGAGGAGATTTATAGTTTATTTTGTAGACCCACTTCATTCTTCCCTTCTGCCAAATGCATCTCAATCAATTAATCTCCTTTAACCAACCTTGGCATATATGTATGTAATTTTTTTCTTCCTTTTTTTTTTTTCTTGCTTTCTCAAAGCATGGCGAATCTCTAAAGCAGAAAACAGATGATGGTAGCTTTTAAACTGGACTTAGGGGTTACATAAAAAGGGATTTCAACAATAAATTTTTTCCTTTAAGATCTCTTAAAATCTTTGAGGAATAGAGACCTGGATTTTGACTTATTAACTTGAGAGACACTCAAAGATTATATAAAATACTTGAAAAACTATTGTTATGCCTGAATTACCAGAAAACATTTCATTCAGTTCAGTCAGTGTCCTCCTGCATGAATCAGACAACAAACAACCCTGATGGTGATTGGGGTACTAAGTTTGGATCTCAGCGAAATGTAGGCAGCAAAGTCAGTTGTACTACTTTTGGGGGACTAAAATAAATGGTAAATTAATCATGCTTTCCTCCAAGTCTAATATTATTGAATGATTTCATGACAGGGATTATTGCTCACATTTTGAGAACCAGAAAAACGAATATTTCTACCTTGTCACTGATGAATAGAACGGAAAGGCCTGTTTTCTCCTGGGACACTAAGAAGGGTTCATCTCTTGAAGGACGCATAGGGAGATAAAGTCAACTTGTTGATACTCGATTATAAGCTTATCTTCTGATGCCGTCTTATCAGATATTTTGATGGCAACTAAGGTGCAGAGTCATTTTCACTGTCATTGTCTAAGTTACTAGGAATATTTTTCTTATGTCGCAAGATAGAGGAAAGATATTTAAGTAGTAGCGAAAAAAGATGTAAAGAACTACATGGATTAACAGTACTCTTTTTCCAAAGATGATGATGATAAGAAGGTGGTGGTAGTGAGGTGTGTGTAAGCTAAGGTCAGTGCAACAGAACGGAAATGTTCAAAGAGAAAAATCACATCCACATTAGATTCTTGTTATTGCTATCTCTTTGAATTATAAAAATAATTTTGATACAGTAAAACCTCATTAATTTATATTTCATGAATCAGTTAATGGGATGAAGTTACCCTTACATTAAGAAAGGGTTTATAAAAGCAATATTAAAAGACACATTTAAACTACTTAAGAAAACCTTTTCAAACATTTCAGAAGCACCTGTTTACTTTCGATTGATGTGCTAATTATGAACTGTTGATGGATTTATTTAAGCCAGGGTTTTAAGCACTTCATTGTGAAATGCAGTGTTGTCCTTTTTGATATTTTCTCTGTATGCTTTAAAATATTCTGTAATTTTTTTCACCAATTCATATAAGTTTTCTCCAAAATAGCATTTTATTGCATATGAACCACACATGTAAGTTTGGGTATAACAGTTTATCTTGTTAGGACTGTGTACTTATGATGTACAACTTATACAAGACATATATTACATATTCACACTTAATTTGTCATTAATCATGGAGAACAGTGACCCTCAACTTAGAGCAATTTTGGCAATGACTGGAGACTTTCATTGTCTTTTACTCAGGAGTTGCTACTGGCATCTGGTAGACAGAGGTCAGAGATATTACTAAACATCCTACAGTGCAAAGGACAATCTCCACAACATAGAAGTTTCTATTAATAGTCCCACTATTGAGAAACCCTGATGTAGCAAGTAAATAAAATCTTAGCGGGGACTTCAGAGATACTTGTTGAATTCCATTATTCATAAAATAAATGAATATTTTAGTCTTTAGTTATTTTTAAATATAGAAAAATGGACAAATATTTTTTTCAGAAAATCAGAAAATAGGGTCCTCGTTGATGGTATAAACAGTGCACTGCAATTTGGCTACTAACATTTTTTAAATCCTCATGTCAAGTTTCTTTAATAGTCTTATGGATACTTTATAATTTTATGTGTCATGTTTATATTTCTAAGTCATCTTCTGAGATCCTAAGGCTGTTCACAGGACTCTGGGAAGATTCATGGAGAGGTTTTTTGTTTTTTTTTTAACAAATGAGATTTCAAGGACACAGAAAATGCTATCCTGGTAGATATTTTATGGCTCTTTCCAACATCTTTTATTAAAATTACCAAGAATATTGTAAAGGAAGTGCCACTTCATAAAATTCACTAAAAATAAAAAAAAAATCTTAAAAAAATAAGCAAATACTATTTTTGGCTGTTAAAATAACCTGGGCTTCAGGGAAATGGTGAATTCTTAAGAAACACATTTGACTCTAGTAAGATCACGATTAATCAAAATTCAATAACCAAATTCATTCATTTTTAAAAGATGCTTTTTGAAGGAACAACTTATTAAGGATGGGTCATGGAATCTATATATTCATTCCTTTGAATTGACTTCCAGAATCACATTAAATAATGATAGCAGGTGTCTATTTTATTTTGCCTCTGGCTGTTCTCCGTAGAGTTATGATAGATACTTTTTACCATGTTAAAGATACTCTTTACTCCATTTTAAAGGAAATTTTTAAGAAGGAATAGGTGTTTGGTTATCTATTGTTATAATCCTGTGGTATATATTATTAAAACTAATGAGTGATAAAATGATTGATTTTGTATCATTAAACTGTTTTTCTGTTGTCTAATGATGGCTGTGGCTAAGATAGCAAAATACCATTATGTTTTATAAAGATTTTCAATAATAAGTATTGAACCAAAGTATTTCCTAATGAAAGCCCTTGTAATAAGAAATGTAATAAATCAGAATTCCTTTCCCAAAATGTTAACTGAGGTTTTACTGAATCATATTAAAGAGAATGACCAGTTTGGTCTGTGAGTGTCAGGCTGCAAGAGCACCTTTGCATTGAAGACCCCACTGGGTTCGAACAGTAATATACTGTGTAATTGGCAGATAAGGATACAAATGGAGCATTAAAAATATATCACTTTAGAAACTGAAACCAGAGTGTGTGAAATCAGCTCTCAAAGCTAACTGCATGGTTCCTATAGTTAGTCTCCCCAAGCCTATCTTCAACTCCCCTGCAGAGTACAAGCAAGGCTGAAACAAACGCTTTGAGATGACCCAACCCTGCATGGTTGTGGCTAAAAGTAGCGACCTGTTCTAAAGGTCTTAAAAAATGGAAATAATTGCATTAGAAATAATTTACTGTACTGGCAATGCTTGATTATGACTGAGAATTGTGAATGATGTACATATTATGGAGAGAAAGGAATGTTAATTGGACTCTTGCCATAAGAATTCAATAAAGTCCTAGTATAATGAGTCATAGATGAGAAGAAAACTCTGGCTTTGTTTAGTTTTCTCTTTCAGTTGGGTATGGCAAATATACTTGAAATGCACTGATAGCTTCTAATGCAGATTTTTTAGATTGTCAGGTGTGGCCCAATTTATAAAAATAGTTTACCATAAATCTTTTTCTCTTCTGTCACAACATGCTTGTTTTCTTTTCCTCTTAAGATGTTAATTTATCATGCAAAGGTTTTTTTTTTTTCATTATGTGCATTAATGCTTTTGTTTATACAGGATTTTTTCAAATCAGAAGGACTCCCCATAGTTCCTAAGTGTAAATCCTTAGCAAATGACATGCCAAGATGATAGCTCCATTCCACACGGGAAGAGGCAAATTCAACCATTTCGTGGGTTTTTAACCAGGGTCCCAGCCTTTGGATTGTACAGTGTCTCTGATAAATCTCCCTTATGATATCTTCAGATGAACTGTAATGGAACATTTTGTAGAAGAAACTGGCTTCTAACAGTTGAAAAGTGATGCTGGGAATAAATTTGGTTTCCCTGAATAATGTTTCATAAAGCAGTCACAGCTTCTTTACAGCTTTAGAATTGGTACCATTTCTTATCCTTATATTTCAGCATTAACTGCAAAGAAAAAAAAAATCACCATGTTTTAAAAAAAAATCTTTAAAAGTGCTAATCAAAGCAAGCTCATAGTGAGCCAATTCAGTCTCAAAACTTACAAAACTTTCTTTTGTGAGTAAAGTGCATAAATATATTTTTTTTTAAATCAAGCTTTAAAATTTTTTAATGATTGAGACAAAAAGGCATATGTAGTAGGTCCTAGCCTCTATTGCCCCTCATGCCTTCTTGGGATGATGTAATCTATGTAAGTATCTTTCTAGGAGCTGATGTATAATATAAACTCCAAGTATCAGAACAATGGCTAATTTTCTTTGAAATTACCACCTAAAATAAAGAAGTATTACCTTTTATCTCCACCATATTGGGAGATTATAATACTTAAAATGAGATCCAGTTTCCTGTGGCTCTCACACTGTATTCCCTTCAGTATAAGCTTAAAATTACTTGTGTGGGACCTACATGTTTAAAATTCTTGCTATCCAAAGAGGCCTGTTACTTAGGCAGTTTACCTCATGTGCATGTTTGGAAAATGCCTCTGCACTGGTCATCATGCCTGCAGTTTTCTCTTCCAGTTCTCCCAGCCTCTGTCCTCTCTCATCAAGTGCGATTCGCGCCCGGGTCAGCTCTCCCATGACCCCGCCAGCGGCTCCTTTCATCCCTTCTATGCCCCCCGGGCCCGGAATGTGCTGTGCGAGGCTGCGGGATGCTTTTCCTGCAGAAGCTTCTCCAACTAAGAGTTGAAACCACAGCAATTTAAAACATGTTGTCAGTAATTCAAATAATTATACTCAAGTTTATCACCAAAGCGAAGTACGTACATTAGATATTTCTGTGATACTTCTCATTAAGGGAGACATTACATCCTGTCATAAATAATGTATTTGGAGATGTTAGCTATTACCCAAGAGAAATGCCTAAGAAAGAGACTTTGAGAGCTATTCTTGCCATAGGCTTGTGTGTGTGTGTGTTCATACAATATGGCATAATTACATCTCTTGATGTTGAATTGGGACACTCACAATATATGTGACCTCATATTTAGCCCTATTATTTTCTGTTCCAATCTCAGGCTTCATTGTTTAAATTTCCGCCCAAATCTTCAACTTTTTCTGTGCCTCTTGCTATCAACCTTGTAGACCTGAGTTGTTATTTTTAAATTCTTTCTCTGTCTCTCTCTTTCTCTGTAATTAGAGAATGGAGTATATGCATGATTGACATTAATTTACACATGTTGAAATTTTGTCAATGTGTAAAAAAGACCAAAAAATTTACAAAGCTCAGTTTCATTTCATTTCATTGAAGTAGATTTCTTTTTATTGAACAAACAGCTTTCTTGGTAGAAATTTAGTGAGTATTCCCATGGATATAAAATTAGGAATGAAATCTACTTTTTTAAGTATAGGAGCCTTATTAATATATAATTCACACATTATAGAATACACCCTTTTAAACTGTTTAGTTCAATTCAGTAGTTTTTAGCATATTCGCAAGTTGAGAAACTATCAGCACTGATTTTTGACCCTATTCATACCCCAAAAAGAAATGCCATACTTATTAGTAATCACCCCTTATTGCCTACATCCTGGTAACTGCTAATCTAATTTCTGTCTTTATGGATTTGCATATTCGGGACATTTCATGTAAATGGAATCATATAATGTGTGACCTTTTGTACTCCTTTAACTTAGCATGATATTTTCAAGATTCATGCATGCTGTAGCACGTATCAAACTTCATTCCTTTTTATGGTCAAACATTTCCATTGTATGGAGGCATCTAGATATTTTGCATAGTTAAAATATCAAGAAAAAAGGAGTATTGATCTGCAAGACCAAACAGCAATGAGCTATTCTGGAAAATGTATTCTTTGCTCTGAAAATATTCCCTAGTATCTTTCTACGGCTTTTTGATTATTGTTCATCAAAGTGTCACAGGAATATTTTTGAAGTAATTTATTCTGTAGCATGAATAAGCCTCACATCCTGAATAAAGAATATTTCTCAATGGTTAAAGGAAAGCTGATTAAAAAATATTTCCCCCCAATTTCAGTAACTGAATGTCTTCATGCTGACTTGTAACTGTAATGTATATGCAAATGATACATTAATTAGCTTACTCCTTATTTGTATGAATAACATGCAGTATTTTTGTTAAATTGTTTCCTAATATGAAGTGACCAATTTTATATTTGGTTAACAAAAATGATTTTTATGCTATAGAAGGGAAAAAAACCTAATGGAGAATTTGAGATTGAGATCACATATTACATTAAGTTAAGAGAGAGGTGTTTTCTATTTTGTGATCCAGTTTTATAATCAGGAATTTACTTACAGAGCTCTTCCCTGTCAAACGTTTGTCCACTTCCACCGAACAGTCCCTTGAGAAAGCCCCTGTTTTGAGCTTCTGGAGTCTCTATGGGAGTAAACAAATCTCCTAGCATGTCCTGTTCCAAATTCAAACAAGAAAGCATTAGCACCACTAAAAGTAAACAGATAAAAAGATAATACTGTGGTTATGTTAAGAGAATATCGTGAAAAGACAATATGCTCCCAGTGATTTTTCCAGTGATTTTTCCTTTGTTCCCAATTCTTACCTCTGGCATTTTCTTTTTCTCTGTTTGCTTACCTTCTCCAGTAACTGATATAAAATTTTCGTTTTTCTATCTTTTCCTCTCCCCTGTGTAATTAGAAAGCTTGGGAAGCTAATGGACTCCCCCTAGGATTAATTTCCACCTGATCATTGGCTACAATCTAGACTTCTGATTCTTTTTCAGTTATCATAGCCCCTTTCCTATCCTCACTCCCTTTCCTGAGCTGCATATGGATCAATTTTTTATCAAGTACAAAATTATGAAACGGCCAAAGATAATTTAAATGAGTCAAAATAGGCAGATCTCATGGTGAGATGCAGTGTTCTCAATGTCTGATGTACTTTAAAAGGAGTGAAGAAAGAGCCTGTTAGAAATATGATGCTCAGGCTTTCTTGCACACATAATAAATCAGAATCTACTTAGAGACGCTCTGGTTATTGAGAATTTTAACTTGCTCTCTGGGTTTTTCCAAAGCAGACCAAAGTTTGAGGATCATTGGAACATCAACAAAAGCCAGGAGATCTGTCACCTAATAACATTGTCATGACAGTGCAGCATGATTTTGTTTTCATTTCCCCTCTCCCCTCTACTCTCCAGCCCTGTTCTTTTCCCCCCGAATTCTTTTTTTTGGAAATCGCAGCACCCACTACTTAGTTCTTAAAGAGAGAAACCTGGGAATAATTATTAATTTCTTCCTTTCCCTCACTCCTACATTAACTAACCCTCTAACCCAACTGATTATAACTAATTTATCTATTATACTAACTTTCTCCATCCTCACTGTTGACTGCTTTACTTTAAGCCATTGTTATTTTTGGTCTTACTTATTTAAAAAACACTATTGTTCTTCCTACCTTCAATCTTAATTCCTCGAAACCAGTCAACATACTATAACCAGATGCATTTATTTTGCTTTAATTTGCTTTAAACAAATTTGCTAAACCTCTTCAATGATTTCACTGTCCTTTGAATAAATGCCAGTTTCCTTAAGGCAGTTATAAATTTCTTGAAGATCTGTTCTTTACAGATTCTCCAGCAACATTCTCCATTCTTTGCACTTCCTAACTTTGTACTTTGATGGCAACTTCCTGGACCCCTTGACTCTTGCATGCTGCTACTTCTGTTGAGAATATTATTACCTTTCCACCTCCAGACATCCTTTCAAATGGCTAACTCCTACTCACTCTTCCAATCCTTCTCTAACAACTCCTTCCTTCTGGTCCATCAGCCCCCTAACAATCTCCCCAGCACTGGTACAACCTTGTATACTAGCATTTTCCACAGAGTATTGTGTTTTCTATTTACTTATCTCTTTCCACACTAGCAGGTAGGGACTTTCTTGTTTATAATTATATTCCTAGAGCTTGGACAATTACCAGCATAATAGTAAAGCTCAATATGTGTTTGTTGAGTAATAATAATAGAATTTATTATTTATTTAAAAACCTGCCTATGTCCCAGTCACTCTGCTCAGTACTTTACGAGTTCTTAATTCTCACAACAATGTTTCAAGGTAGAACATACAGGTAGCTTTAACAAAGTCATACAAGGACAAAATACAACTTAAATAGCTCAGAGCTTTTACTCTTAAACTATTACTATAATGCATTGGTTTTAATTTTCTTCTAAAATGAATGGGTTGAACTTATTGAATCTGTAAGATGTTCTTTTAAAATTTTGTCATCATTTTTACTTAACTAAGTTTAGATATGGTTTTATATTTACTCTGTTCCTAAACTCTGCTTCCTGCTGTGATCAAAGACAAATGCCCAATTTTAACTATAGGATATGTATTTATTTTGTATGGATCGTAATCAAAATTAGGGTTTCTTTTCAAAAGTACATGAACTCCCTGAGTTTTTGTGTGTATATAACATATTCCCCCCCTTGAAGGGAGAGTTTATAATCTTGCAGAGAATTCCCCATAGGCAAAAAAATAAAAAACTAAAACAATAATAAATAAGTAACAAAAGTTATGCATTAATATGCATGATCTTCATAACTCTATTTTTTCCTGTTGAGTAATAATAAGCGCTTTTACCTAGAACCACACAAGAGGGGCTTGCCAGGGTCACATGATGGACATATTCAAAACATATTCTAGGGAAGTCATATTTATTATCTGATCCAATCATATTGTAGCTTTTAGACATCTTGCTCATTCTCTTTCTTTTCACAGCCATGTCCAATATTTATTCATTAATGTGCCTGACCTACCTGTAGATTATCACACATCTCTTGGCTATATGTTAACCGTTGAATTTCAGTAGGAGAGACGAGGTATAATGCCTGTCCTTCATTGGTAAAGCAAAATGTCCGTGCTATCCTCATGTCTGTCAGTGGCAAATAATTAACATCCAACATTGGGCGAAGACTAGGAAGGCTGAATGGAAAAAAGCAAATTCATATTCCATATTCAACTTGTTAGAACATTTTAATTTTTCTGCATAAAGTTTTAATTTCCCTGTAAAAAATTATAAATCCTTACAAAAACCAATAATTTTTGTACCACTATTTTATGTGTTTTTTTCAGTAAGTAAATGTGAAGTATTTACTTCATAATTATGCCTTCAGTGCAGATGCCTTCAGTCAGAGGTAATTTTTATTTTATGTGTAAAGAGAGAGTAAAGGGATGGGGAGCAAACCACTCCATTTCTAGCTATATGCTTATTCTGATGTTGTAGCTAATGATTTTGCTTAAGTATTTATCAGAATGTTCCTTTGGATACTGTCAGTAGAGCCAGTTTTACAAACCACTGAAGAAAACCACTCATAATGCTTTTAAATCACACCTCTCATTTAGCCAAAAGAAGAAAAATAAACTTTTAATTAAATCTCATGCTTTGAAAGACTTTGCCTGATTCTAGTGTGCACAACAATTTTAAATTATCCCAGACCATTAAACCAGCACCTTGAAAACATAGGCAGATTTTTCTTATCAAAGTAGTTTGTAACTAACAAAGCTCTAGAACCTAACCATATAAAATAGGACCTAAAACCTGTGCTACTGGAATAAGCTTTTCATGAGATTCTAGCACTGTGCTGTCTAAAAGGATAACCACTAGTCACATGTGACTACTGAGCAGCTGGCATGTGGCTTGTCTGAATTAAGATGTTCTGTAAGTGTAAATCATATACTAGATTTCAAAGGCTTACTATGAAAAAAAGAATAGGATTTTGAGAGATTACTGATGGTCATTCCAGTCTTGCTTGAAAATGATGAATTAACTCCTAGACATGCCTTATTTTTGAGGGGAAAAGAGAGTGTATTTTCATGTGTGCATGTGTATCATTCTTCCCTAAACTTGAATTTACTCACTCAAATTTTTTCCTTTAAGGACATTACATTTTTAATGCCACAATTCAGATTTTAGCTTGAAAATGATTACTTACCCTGATTTTGCAAATTTTCAGTGTGTCTTGATGATCTCAATTACTGCCACAAATTTTACTAATGTATTTACATAAATGACTTCCAAAGCTGGATCTGCCTCCCATATTTTTTCAGACCTGAAATTCCCTGCTAAACTTCTGCAGATGGCTTATAAGCACCTCAAATTTCAGTTATAGATTCAACTATCTCATAATTTTCAACTCTGGGGACTTAGTTTGTGACTAGATGATTCAACCTTACACATCCTCTGTTGGAATATACATGTTCTGTGTACTGTAGAACTTGCATATTTGTCTTATCTCCCAGGATGATACTTAACTGTCTTAGTGATTTTTGGAATTAGGTGAGGTTTTAAAGTAAATAACAGTGACTCACGTATACTATAAAAGTTTGTTGAATTTATAAAATTGTTAGGTAATTATTTTTGTGTTTCACAAATTTTATTGAAACTCACTAAGAGCATAATGATATCTCTCAGCTGATACCTTATTATTAGGTTTGTCAAAAGGTACAGACTTCCACTTATAAGATGAATATGTTCTGAGTTGTAATGTACAGTGTGGTGGCTAGAGTTAACGATACATCACTGTATGCCTGAAAGGTGCTAGGAGAGTAGATATTAACAATTCTCACATAGCACACAAAAAATAGTAACTATGTGAGTGATGTTTGTGTTAATTAACCTTATGTGGTAATCATTTTGTAATATATACATATATCAAATCATCACATTATACACCTTCGACTTGGACACTGCTATGTGTTAATTATATCTCAAGAATACTGTAAAAGAAAATATCTGATGACTTCCAGTACACTATTCAGTGCTGGCCTCAGTTTTTCCTGGACTTGCAACCTCAGGCAAATTTAAAATTTAGTTTATTAATATATAGAATTAAAGAATGCAAATAATACTTTATTTTCCTATGTCCCAGAGAAGCTATAAGGATAAAACTCTGTATGTAGAATTCTTATATGGACACAGTCAATGTAGCTGTTCATTTCTTTATAGGTTACTCATTTATATATTTCCAGGGTCTAGCAATGCATCTGGGAAATAATATATGATCAATAAGTGTATGTTGGATGAATATAAGTGACTAGAAAATTTCTCTTTCCTTAGATTCCTTGATGTCAATTAAAAATATTTAATTTACAATACAAAACATTTTTAGCAATAATAAAAGAAAAAAACCCAAAGCATCCTCAAATTGCTAAACAATAAAAACACCACAAACAATAAAACAATGATCTAAGGTTGCTCTTGATAACATTTTGCACATTACATATGTACTTTTCGGAACTCTACCTTGCTGGCACTGTTGCTATTATCAGATAACTTATAAAGAAGGCAAGTACCTCATTATCATGATATGCCCATTGGCACAAAAGCATGCCAAGCAGGCACTGTTACACATGACCACCACATCTGCTTGCAGTATAAAAGATGTCTCAGTGATGTTATGAACATAAAGGCAAGTCTGAGAAGGCAGTGAGAAGACTTTGGCTTGTTTTTCTGAGCAGATTATTGTATACTGATGATCTCCTATTTCTTGGGATGGAGAGGGGCAGTTCATGACTAGTTTCCGTTTCCCAGGTTTTTCATTTTCATCTATGTTGTTTGGATCCCTCCAAACTTCATATGGCGGTTGCATTAATCCGCCAGTTCGGTCCATACAGGAGAATGTTAGCACAGCTCCTTTCAATGAGAGGAATGTACCTATAAAAACAATTTCATGTCACTGGCATGTGAGACTCTTTCTAAAACAGCTGTTATTCAACCATAAACAATACATGTTTTATATTATGATAATTTATAGTCATAATGTTACTATCATAAATATAAATCAATAGATTTGTGAGCTCTTCAATTGTAATAACTTGGAATCATAGTGTTAGGCCTAAAGGAGCCTAAGACACCAATCCTCTTATTATATTAATGATAAAATGGAAGCCCAGAAAGACAATGAAACATATACTAAGTCACATAGCAAGTGAGGCTGGACTAGAGCTCAGGTTTTCTGACTCCTAATCCAGTATTCTTTTACTACACTATGCAGTTCCCTTAAAATTCTTTTTTAAAAAGCAAATTTAAGAAAACTTAAAATTTTTGTTATTGAAATAACTTCAACTGAAAATCATTATATCATTGGACTTCACTTATTTTGTAGATTCTGTCACTAGAAAGTGTTTTTTCTTCTTCTGAAATTGAACACTCAATAAAAACTGTGAATAAAATTCACTCAATAAAATTTCAACATCTAGCATCATGCTAGCAATTCTGATTGTATGAAAGAAAACTATCTTTGGCTGTTAGCTAGATAATTCATCTTTATAAGAAAAGTTTACTCACCTGGCTTCTCCAAGGCTGAATATCCATGCCAGATTATTACCTTTGGATGATTTTTACCAGTCCTAGAGGACTATAAAATTTAGAAGGACTATACAATTTAAGGATTGATTTATCTTTGCACATTTCCAGATTCCCTCCTAAGAATGCCCCATTCAGACTTTGTTTCCCCTTTGTCCTTTGATATCACAGAGGGGATGTGAGGGGCTTAACCTGGACTGATATGCCTCAAGAGTGTACATGTGTCAGAAACTTGAAAAGGGAAGGGTGATGTATTAAAATGCATACCATTTAGAAAGTTACTCTATTTAGAAATTAAAATACTTAAAATTTTCAAATTGAAAATAACACAATTTGAGGATTTAATATCTCTGTGTTATTAAATCAACTTTCAAACTTAGCTTATAAAACTAAAAAATCCTTCCAAAAAATCTAAAAAGTCCTACTTTGCTCTGAGGGTGCAGATTTAAAAGTACAGCTCTCCCAACCTGCCATGAAGAAAAATTAATGCCCAAAGCTATGAATAATTTAATTACAATTCATCTATTCCATTTTATATAACCGCACTCCCATTACTACCTACCATGGGAAGACATTCTGATTATAAATATCTTAGCATCCTCAATTTAGAGATAGTCTAAGGTGGGTTTAAAGGGTAAGAATTCTCCCTTTTGGAAACCACTTTACTTATATCTTTATCTTACTTTTACTCATATACTGTCAGCTACGTTAGCCAAAATAGTTTCTCAGCTGTGCTAACCAAAATAGCTGTTTTATTTTCTATTTTATAGTAAAAAATGCTTTTATTACATTCTGCTCACTAGGCTTACACAGGGTTTAACTTTCCCCAACAATGTATTATTGATCTTTGTCTTTCTATAGTGTTTCCCAACTTACAAAAAGAAAAACTTAAATTTAAGGGCTTATATAGATAATAAAATCTACATATAGTAAAAAATTGACCACACAAGTAACTAGGTCTTTTCTCTTAAAAGAGGTCTTACTGGCTGTAAACATACCTTACTGTAGCTTTCCAAATCACCAGCCATCCCCACTACAACCTTCATTCATTCAATCAAGAAATGTTTATTGAGGGCTTACAGTGTGTTCTGGTCTCTGTTTCAAGCATAGGTGATATAACAGTAAATAAAGGAGACAAAGATCCCTGCCTGTATAGAACTTTCTATGTTAGAGCTAGACAATACATATAATAAATAAGTAAAACATAGGAGATATTAGGCAGTAATAATTACTAAGGAAAATATAAAGCAGAAAGGGGGGTAGGGATAGATACACTTGTAAAAAGGTGTAAATTTTAAATAGAGTAGAGGTGTTAGTTTAAGAATAAATGGTTGTGCCTCTCTTGCTAAGTTGAAGCCCTTACCCCACACCCGTCCTCCACCAGTGTAGATGTACTTAGAGATGGGCCTCTAAGGAAGTGATTAACTTTAAATGAGATTGTAAAGTTGGGCCCTGATTTGATAGAATTAGTGTTCTTATAAAAAGGGACACCAGAGGGAAACTCCCCCACCTCCAACCCCCAGAAGAAGGCCATGTAAATATACAGTGAGAAGGTAACTGCCTAAACTCAAGAAGGGAGTTACCACCGGATCCCAACCCTGCTGGCACATTGATGTGGAATTTCTAGTCTCCAGAAGTGTGAGAAAATAAATTTCTGACATTGAGCCTGTGATATTTTGTTATGGCAGCCTAGAGGGGTGGCCTCTTTGGAATCATACTGTGAGAATTAGGGCTCAGGAAACCAGCACTACATACTGATATTCTGGTTAGTAAATTATCCCTCTTCTCTGATTCAGAAGGCTCATGTCCTCCATGAAAATCCATGAAAATGGCAACCTAACTTTATTAGATTGCAAGTAGAGCAAAATCTCAAACTCTTTACAGATCTTGACTTAATATAATTTAAAGAAAAATTTAAAATTTATTTTTGCATAGAAGAATTGGGGTGTAGGCCAGAGGTGGGGGGTATGTGAGAGGATTCACCAGAGACAGTGGGGAGCAGAACAGGCAGATCTACTGAAATACACAGCTGAGGGAAGCAGCAGGCAAGACAGGAGAGGTCTGCTGTGCCATATGTGGATTAGCTCCCCGGCCTTGGGTCGAACTCGCCATTGCGCTAAGACATATCCCCTAGGCAACCAATTATATTATAATATAACATAATTGCATTTAACAGGATCACTTTTCTTGCAAGGCACACCCTAAAGGGGGTCAAGGTTGTGAAAAAGGAGAATAGTAAAGAGGTTCGTGCAATAATCCAGATTAGAATTGAATACAGGCTTGTTCCAACCAGGTTCTAAGAGCAGAGGTGGTAAGAAATGGTCAGAATCTGCGTATATCATAAAGACCAAGTAAACAAAATTTGCTGATAAGTTAAACTTAGAATGTAAAAGGAACATGATAGTCATGGTTGATTCCTATATTTTTGACCTGAGAAACTGGAAGGATGAAATTTCCATTAGTTGATGTGGCAAAGACTATGGGAAAAAGGAAAGGAATTTAATAAGCACTCAGATTTGAACTTATTACCTTTGAGATGCTTATAAGACATTCACTGGATGTCAAAGAACTGGATATCTATGTCAGCAATTTGGGGATAAGAAAAGACCATCGATACAGATATAGATCCTCAGATTATAAGTGGCATTTAGGTCATAAGCCTTGCTGATTTCACTTAGGGCTTGAATATGAATAGAAAACAGAAAAGGCTCAAGGAGTCAGTCTTGGGACATTTTGATGTTTGAAGTGCAACAAAATAAGGAGGAAACAGTAAAGAGGACCAAAAAGGAATGGGCAGAATGGTAGGAAGAAAACCAGATAAATTAAGTGTTCTGGAAGCCAAGTGAAGCATTTTAAGGTAGGGACAATGGCAAACTGTAAAACATGTTGCTGACCTGTCAAGTAAGATGTGGCGGTGTGAGAATTGACTGCTGGATTTAGCAGTGAGGTCTGTGGTGATCCTTTTTGTTGATTTGTGTGGGATAGCATGATTAGAATGGGCTCGAGAGAGAATGAAAGAATAAAATTGGAAATAGTGAATATATAACAAACGTTTCAAGCAATTTTGTATTAAAGAAAAAAGTGCAATGGACAATTATTGAACAAAAAGAGGGATTTTCTCTTATTTGGATAAAAAGCACCATGTTTGTATGCTCATATAATAAAAATATTTATCTAATTACCTATAGTATGTAAATATAATAACTTAGTTATCTAACAGAAATAGGAAAAATTGCTCGATTGACTTTCTTGAGTAGGTGAAAGAGGGTAGAATATAGTACACAAGTAGAGAATTTGGTCAAGTTAGACGCTTACACAGTTTAGTCATAATCATGGGAGAAATGTAGACGCCATGGAGGCAGAGGCTGATAGGCTGGTAGATGTGGTGCAGCTGTTGAAATTTGCTTCAGTTTTCTCAGTGAAAAGATACAGTCATTAGCTGAGATTGAAAACAGCAGAAAAAGCATTGGAGGTTGAGGAGAGTGGAGAGAACATGCAATTGTTCAAGGGGGTGGGAAAGAGGAATAGGGAAATAAAGTATAACTACCCAGCAACACAGGACCCCTTTTGAGGTTTTTGATGATTTATCTTAAAGTGAGTCTATTTAGTGCAATCATGTATTTTTTTCCATTCAAATTCAGTTACACAGGTATAGAAATAAACTGGAATTAAATTTAACCAGAATAAACAGGTGTGATACTCTGATTTATAATAAACATATTTTTGGTCTTTATCTCCATTTCTGGCACAGAGCCCTTTGCATTTCTTTCCCGAGGAGAGGTTCTTAGGTGTCTTTAGTTATGTTAATGAGGTAACTATGGGCATCACCTGAGGATGGACTGGTTGCCATGGGAACCAACGAGTTTAAAGGAGTAACTTTCAGGCCCAACTTCCAGAGAGGGGGTGGGGTGATGTGGGCTGGAGATTGAGCTCTACAGCCAATGACCAATTAAGCATGATGCATATGTAATGACGCCTCCATTAAAAACCCCAAAAGGAGGCTCTTGGAGGGCTTCCTGGTCGGTGGACAGGTGGAGCTGTTAGGACACTGGAGTGCCTGGAGAGGACATGGACTCTGCCCTTCGCATCTCTTCCATCTGGATATTCATCTGTATCCATTGTAATGAGCTGCTAAACTGTAAGTAAACCATTTTCTTGAGTTCTATGCGCTGCTCTAGCAAATTGAACCTAAGGAGGAGTTGTGGGAACATCAGATTTATAACTAATTGGTGAAATGTACTGGTAACAAAGTTGACTTTCAGTTGGCCTCTGAGGGGTGTGTGTGTGTGTGTGTGTGTTTGTGTTTGTTTTGTGGGACTAAACCTTTAACCTGTGGGTTCTGATGCTCT